GGGGGGGGGGGTTGAGGAATGAGTTTCATTAGTTCTGTGACCATGCTCGTATCTCAAATGATCTATCACCAGTGAAATGAACAAAAATTCCATTCACCTTCCTGTGTGGAGTTTGCATGTTCTCCCTGTGCCTGCGTGGCTTTTCTCCGGGTACTCCGGTTTCCTCCCACATTCCAAAAACATGCATTGCAGGTTCATGGAATGTTCTAAATTGTCCCGGAGTGTGACTGTGAGCAGCAATGGTTTTTCGTCTAGGTGAGCCCCGCGATTGGCTGGCAACCAGTTCAGGGTGGCCCCTGCCGACTGCCCAAAGACAGCTGGGATAGGCTCAAGCACACCCTTGTGAGGAGAAGCGGATCACAGAATGGATGGATAGATTGAGAACTACACAGTTTTTGCAATTTCAGATCACTTTAATTAAAATGATAACAAATGATTCTGATGAGCCAAAACACCGGATATCTAATTTATGAAACGTATAGGAAACTGGCTGGACAAAAATATATTTCTGCTCCTAATAATTTGAACGGTTGGGCTAAGATTACTGTTCAATTTTATTTCTAGTACCATGAAAATTTCAGGTAATATTTGTCTTCTTGAATTTTCATTTCATATGTACACATTATTTGCTGTATAAATGTGACCATTTTATTGTACTAGAGTCCAGGACAATAAAATGAAATCATGACTTTTTTTTTTTACCCCTCACGGGAATATTTAATAGTCACAGTCAGTCAATGAAATGTTGACAACTGTTTGAACGTAAAACAAAAATCACACATTTGAACCATGCATGAACACACACAAAGCCAAGAATGGATGATTAAGTGTCCCGAATTAAAAAATGGCAGAGATCTAAAATGGCTTTTTTCCCTTTCAACACATGCTTGAAATCATTCAGACCTCTTGGGGTTTGTTCAGTGTTCTGCGTGGTGCCATGAAGAGGACCCAAATCAACACTATTCTTTTCTCCCACAATAAGTTAACAGCCTCATTAAAGGGTCCAATCATTGAGCATATGGCCAGGGTCGACTCAACTTATTCGAGCTGTCATGGGGGTCGAGTGGCTGTGTGTTATGTTTACTACAATTTTAATCTACGGCATTTTACTGCCAGACAAAGTACAGTAAATAAGCAGTTTGGGCTTCAATAAAGAAATGCCAGACAGGCGCACATTTATCTTTAGATGTGTGCGGGATGGAGAATATCGAATAAGGATTTCAGAACGCGGGGTTGAGGAGTTATATTCCCCTTAATTGGGGACGATAAGGACACACTTGCTCGTTAATATAAATTCAGGGGTTTGGAAACCTACAGGAAATTCTGGAAAAAAAATCTGTGGCAAAGTTTTGTTCTCTTGTCACACTGCCCTCCGTGAAACCACTTTTATGGGAATTAACTGTAGTAGGATTATATATACGCAACCTAAAAATAACATCTAACATTTCTAGACAAATAGTGGATACTTAAAACAAAACAATGTAACGCTTTGTACAAATACATAACATTAACATAGCACACAATGGAGGTTAAGATGTTGGTGTGGTCTTACATCTCGACAACAGTTCCAGTTGTCATACGGCATCAAAGGAAAATTAATTGCGCCGCCGAGACTTTGGTCGATAAAATAAAAGATGTTATCAATGACGAGCTCGACAAAGAGGGCGCGGAATTAATTCAATAAATTTCAAGCTGTTAATAGGGGGAGACGTTTTGAAGAGTTGTTGTGTATACAGTAAGCCACTGTTGACCTCTCCGACATGCACGAGGGAGAAAGGCAACATCAAGTTTAGCCGAAGTGTTTGCACTTTGACTGCGGTTCCCTTGGGCCTCAGTGATGGAGTGGGCTGATCCTCAACGCTGCATAGCGGACGCTGTTTTACAGGACATGCCAACTTGAGTGATGTTGCACAACATCTTTTCTCATTAATGGGATTCACATACAGTCATTGAGCAATGGAAAAAAAGAAAAGAAAACATTTCAAACGCATGCCTTTATAAGTGAGGCGATATTTACTTTGAGTGGGTGATGCGGATGATCGTCCCTTTCGTGATGCATCGTCCAGCTTTGTTCTCAGAGATGTCTTTGGACTTGATGTCGTTCTGTCCGAACTGGGGGACAGCCGAAATTTGATCACATCCTAAGAGGCAAATGTGTTAACATTTTAAATAATGTACAAAAAAAAAAAAAGTGATTCTTGCAAGCAAAAGTGATAAGTACGAACTTTTTAAAAAATTTGTCACAAAAAAAGTACAATAGAGCAACAAAGATATTCCTGTTTATCGTTGACCAATGCAATTTAAATGATGAATGAACACTTTGCAGAGGCTACATTTAGTTGGGTTCATACAAAAATAACTCCCTTTTGATCTTTTTGGTCAGTCTCGTGTAGTTTCACCAAAAAACAAATAATAATAATAAATAATAATTTAAATGTGCACACTGTCATATTCTAAGCCTTTCAACGCTTCCTGTATCTTTGCTTTCGGGGACATTTTTTTTCAGCATTCCTTCATGATAATGTGTTACCTGAATTGTGTCAGAGGTGGAGATTGGCGCGGCGCTCTGAGTTACGGCTGAGTTGTAGACCATGACACTGAGAGGGTTTGGCTTTGAATCCCCTTGCAGAACCAGCTGCGTCTCTTCCCCCTTCCAGTTTGTCTGCTCCTGGAATGGGCACAACATTGCCCAACGGAGGCACTGCAGGAAGGCTGCCCGGGATGCTGATGTGGCAGACAGCTGTGTGATGAGAAAAGACACAGGAACGCAGATATTACTGGGTATTCAATCCATAAGCGCTCTCCATTTCCTTAGGTGTAGCGGCACATGACTCCAAATTCCATGTGAAATATAATAATGTTGTCAAGGCTGACATGCTGATAGGATCACAAATTAATTGTGATACAGAAAAACTCGATCTTTTGACCATCCATATAGCTTCAGGTCTCTGAGAAGTAAAATCAAATTTCTTATAAATTTGACACACCACAGAGATTTGTGTGGTTAACCAGCTTGCCAAATTTGAATTAAAAGAAAAAAAAATACAATATGTGAAAAGGCGTATCACAACTTGGCGGCGGTCTGTAGTGCAACCGGAAAAGATGCATCACTGAATTGGTTGTTGTCGAAAACTATCGGTCATATTGTTTACATTTATTGATCAGCAGTATAAATGTGCCTCTCCATGCTTCATTAGACTCTGTTGTGGCCACAAATGAGCTCCAAAACTGCCTGGTGTCCTCTTTTCATCTGTAGAAAACCTTGACAGAAGAGTGCAAAGGACTATATGTGACCCCATCAGAACGTGACAGGCCAGGAGGGAAGATACAGTGCAGGCATCCCTTGCAAAACCGCGGGCGGACACATCGCGTGCCTTTGAGCCAGTGGGACATCCTTGAAAACAAAGTGGAAAAAAATGGCCGCTCGGAATGTAATGTAAACGTAGCCTGTGAGCAGAGGGTAGAAGCCTCTTCCAGTTGATTTAGGGCAAAGGTCAGGATATACCAACTACTGGTTATCTGTCAATCTCATCTCAGGGCATACAAGTATCAAAAAAAAAGTACTGTATTAATACTAACATTAACCTATGGACAATTCAGAGTCTTCAAATAACCAAGCAGTTACCAAGAGACAACTCACAATAGCACCAAAAAAAAAAAAAAAAAAACTGCACAGTCCCCTGGAGCTGTCAGTCAAATCCTCGAACCTCAGAGCTGTGAGACGCTTTTCCATTGTCCCGGTTCCGCACCGAAACGGCCTTGTGTGGTCACTTTTCCATTACGTTTTTTCATGGCCATACATACAGAGCGCATATATTGTGTTTTACAACAATACTTAACCATAATTCCAATTTCACACAGTGTGTACCAATGAATAAAACAGTGAACCTTGTGGTAAAAATTCTAGCAAGCATCTCCAAGTTCCTGCTATTCGCAGCTCATCTATACCCTCCGGCATCTGAAGTTTCACTTGTCTGAGTTGCTGCCACCAGCGGATCGTTGTCACCACCCTTGGGTGTCTTGAAGACACAGCCCGAAGCCTTGGCGATCCCCTGGTCCGACAACTATGGCCCCCGCCTCGGGGGCAGTGGCTTCGGGTAGCTTCTGGAGGGCTTCAGAAGCGGGACGACGCCAGTGAATGGACACCATGAGCGGCAGGCATGCTTATATTTTTTTACCACAAGCTTCAGTATTCCATCCATTGACAACATAAGCAATTGTTCATATAAATTATGTACTCTTGTACAATACGATGTGTGTAATGTCTATTCTGTATTTTATTTTTTTTCGGCCCTGTCTCGCTTTCTTGAACAAGGAAATGGATTTTCGTCTCTGCGAAAGCTTCTGTGCTTTTGATGGGCTGTTATTTGCAACGTCACCAGATCAGTTGCGGTGTTTCAAAATATGGACTTTGATTCACAGCAAAACCAGGAGATGAAACTCACCATCGCAAGTATTCATCATGTGAGCTGTAACTAATGTGTCTTAAATTTGAGACTAACGGTCAGAATTAAACTCGCCAGGCGTATCCTCAATTGTCAAGACCAGTTTAGTTAAATAGCACAATCCTGAGTCATTTCATTCTAACAAGGACAAAGGAGTGATGTTGATATTTAGCATGAATTAACACACACAAAAACATAATTCTTACCTTAAATGCAGTCAACATTTAGTTCATAAAACGAGACACATTTTAGCGCTGCATTAACACATCTCGAATGGCTCAGCCTTGTGTTTGCATGTCTGTAATTGATGTGATGAAACTACATCCCACACTCAGATGTGAAAGGCAAACATTTAGAAATGGCAGCAATCCGGGTGGTGTGGTACATCATCGCATGCAGTCGTCGACATGCATGCACACATTTTGATAATTTAGGAGTTCACCTCTAGCACCAAACCTCAAGTACAAACAATCAAATGCCCTTACTGGCGCAATTCTATCAATTTCCACAGTCTCCCGTAGCGTAGCAAAGAAGCTGTGTGCAGTTTCCAATAAAACGTCATTGTACAGTATTGACTTTATGAGGACAGCAGACAATCCTTTGAACTGTCGTCACTGCTTTCACCCTCTGTATATGGCACCTAAAATTCAGGTCACACATAGATTTAAGGAAAGCTTTTCTGTGGATGAATATGATTTACAGTCTGTGCCCTTGCACCACTACTTGTATATATAAAAAAAAAAAAAATCCTGGGGAAAAAAAAAAAAAGAAAGAAAAAAGGGGGAAAAGCTTTAAATCCTCCACAGGGCACCCTGGGCTTTTGCTGAATCGATTAATAAGCTGGTCAGCTTCATATAAGTTTAATCAATCAAAGGTAGAATACACAAGGCACAGAATACACAAGGATCCTGATAGTGGCCATTGCTCAAAACAAAGTGAAACCCCTAACGGTTCAAACAATGCCTTCGATTCTCTTGAGTCCATTTCTTCACATGAAACCCATAATGGTACGCTACAGGTCATCAGTCATTAAAAAAAAAAAAAAAAAACAACCAACCAAACAAACAAACAAAAAAACATTTAATGCCTCAATGCCATGCAATTACTCGTGCCTTCTGTGATCCGGTGATGGATGGCAGCGTGTGCTGCTGTACAACAAATGTGGAAAGAGATAAATAATATCAGCTCTCCACATAAGAATGTTTAGACAAGCTGATGAGAAGCATTTTCTATTGTCAGTCACAGAAAAACGGGAGACATTACCATTTTTTTGGTTTGTCAGTATAAGCTTATTCCACACAAGTGGAATAAGCTGTCAAGAGAAGTGTTAGCCGAGGTTTAAAAACATTGGGGTTTTTTTCCACTCATACCTTTGGATAAAAAGTTCTTTCTGATATGCCTCCCTATGTCGGACCTGCCCTTTAAGGATTTCTGTTATCTATTATGTGCAATATAAGACACGACGAGCCTAAAAAAAAAATAAATGACTACTATATATCAGGAACACGGCGCAATCAAACTTCAAACAAGAAGCTTTTTATTTCCAATGGTTATTTGTTTGTTAATTAGCAAGATTACGCGAAAGCAATTAAACGGATTCATTAAAAAAAAAAAAGTGTATATTCAGCATTCTTATTCTTCCTTCATTTTGCCTTATCCTGAGCAATGCAGGGATCCATCCATTCACCCCTGGGCAAGGAGGAGGAGGGGTACATCCTGGACTGGCATCATCAAGCAGATGAAAGTATGACAAACATTCGCGCTCACATTTACACCAATGAACAATTAAAAGTCTGAAATACGATAGATTCATTTTGGGGGTCCCACAAGTGGTAAGTGAACAGGCCCATACAAAAGGAAGACGTTGGAGGTGGTCCGCAAACATTAAAAAGGTCATTACGTAGATGCTCCAGGGTCTCCATGGAAACTGCAGGTAAGCTTTTGTCTTTCTTTCAAGGCTTAGAGAACCACTGCAATGATTTCGAAGATGTCATTCTGTCTGTTTACATCTAATGAGACTCTCCAGTGTTTCACACAAATTAAGTAGCAGTGATTTGCAGATCAATATTCAATTCCGATGGAGAGGCTGCTCACTTCAGACGACAATTTGACGCCGCCCCCCACCCCCCCTCCTAGTGGCAAAAGCACATCTCTCACACTGAATTTGAAGGGCAAAAATATAGAGCAGCCATAAAAGCAGGCCGCGGTGATGTTGTTCAATAACTTTGTGTAGGATTAAAACCACACGCGAGACAAAACATTCCACATGCATCTTTTCAATGTCATTGTTCTTTTATTTTTTTAAATGTTCCAGTTAGAAAATGTTGTGGTACTGTATGTGGGGAAGCCGGTAAAAATCCTAAGGAGCCCCAATTGTGCTCCACATGTTTCAAGCCTAGCAGAAAGGAAAGCAAGAGCAACGTGACCGTCTAGCACATGAGCAAACGTTCTTCTTGTATTATTCAATGAATACGGTGCTGCGTGGGAGTGATTCGGGGGCAGAAATGCTGGCTGAGCTCGAAGAGAATCACAGAGACAAAGCGGCAATCGGGGGCCTTTTCTATATGGATGCCTACAGCCTTGGAGAGGGGGAGAGAGTGGGGGGGAGAGAGAGAGAGAGAGAGAGAGAGAGAGAGAGAGAGAGAGAGAGAGAGAGCGCTTTTTATCTGTCCGACACTTAGCGCAGACGTTCAGTATCCCGATGGTCAGGGTGACAGAATAGCTTCTTGTTCGACACTTTGCGCAGAGAACGTAAGTGAGAATACGAAGGGGAATAAGGCACGTCGAATTAATCTGAACATTTTCCACCAATGCTACATATCCTTTAACCATGCATTACATGTACATCCGTGACTGAGATCAAGCAATGAATGATTTATTCATGATCAAGTGGAGGGATCTTTCAAAAGCAGCGTAGCCACACGGAAAGGAAAATACAATGTGGGAAAAAAAAGGGATATTCTTCCCTTTGAGAAGAAAAGCCCACTGCGTCACGAATCCGCTATCCATTTCAACGCCGAGTTTTTGTACCGGGGAATGATGTGATCTACATATGAACTGCGTAAACGTCAGAGAGCTCGGGGTATGAAACAACAGGATTAAAAGAATCGCACTGGGACTCTTTCGTTGTGGTTTCAGTAAACAATCGGGGATAAGAGTTTCATTCCAAAACGAGGTGAAATTCACACGCGGGCATGTAATCCATGTGCACACAGTCCATGTTTAGTCATACACAAAAGCCTGGAGGATGACAATGAGAAGTTGTGCGGGCGGAGGTGGTGTTTAATGGCATTTT